CTTGCTTACGGCAAAGATAAAGTTTTTACTGAAACAGTGTCTGCCTGAGGCGTGACTACACACCATGACCTGTCCAGTTCGGAATTTATTTTCAGAGCACCCTGTGAGGTTATTTTCCATAGAGCCCCTTTATTTTCTCTGCAATACCTTATAATCTTCTCTGAGAGCCTCAGTGCACTTGGAATGAATCCATCCCACCCCCCTGAGCAGGTGGCAGGTGGTGTGTGGATAGGCGTGTGTGGGTGTGTCCCCTCTGCCTCCCCAGCAGGAAGACAAGGCCTGGCACAGACAGGTACCATGTTGAGCTGGCCGACCAGCTGACGGAAGATTCCAGCCTATCGTGAAGGTCCCCACAATCTCAGGTTACATTTCCACATCCCCTGAAATCAGCCCAGGCTCCAGACACTGGGGGCTCCTTCCCGGTCCCCAAAGGTGCCCCACACTTTCCTCTCCCACCAGGTCTTTGCGCAAACCGTTCCCTCCCCAGCCGCTCGCTCTCCACCCTGTCTCACACGGACATCTGCTCCTCTTCCCGCCCAGGTCCCCTGGCAACGTGGAATCTTCTCCAACCCCCCTCACTTGCCTCAGGCCACACCACACCCCACCTCTACCATAAATGTCTATCTCTTCAGTGCTTGCACTCCAGAGTGTGACCTCCTGGGGAGGAGCTTCTGGTGTGTACCTAATTGATATCTTAAACAAAAACATCTGACTATGAAGCAGAGGCACCTTTATGTAAACAACACTTACATACATGGTGTCTTACACAACTCTGTCCCCCTCAACACCTCAAAATAAATCTCCCCATTTTAGGAAAAGTCTCAGTGGTACCTGTGCCTATGACACAGTTGACGTGAGAAACATCCAAACCTGCAGAGAACTTGTATGAGTTTATTCGAGCCAAACTGATGACATACCCATACTACACCCCGTAGTGCCTTACATGGTGTCGTGTGCTTAGCAGGGACACAAGAATAGTTTTGAATGAATGAGCTATTTCCACACCACCCCCCAAACCTGTAAGAAGATGATGGTGATGGTCTTTGTCTACATGTTCCTTTTTTCAATTAATTTAAATGCAGTTCTGTGTTGGCAATGTGAAGAAAGGTGTCTGTTTTCATCTGTGAACAGAGTCTGTCTTTTCAGGGTTATTCCATCTTTATTGGAGGAACAAACGCAGGCCTCATGCAGCGGGTCGAGGCGGTGGCTGTAGCTGCCAGTGTAGCAGACACGCCACTGCGTAAGGGAGAAGGAATTTCTCCCAGAGCTGATCATTGCCAACACGCTCAGCCACGTTTGTCTCTTGGGCTTCTGAACAAGACCACAAATGTGAAGGCGTATGAACTCCACAAAGCACTAAAATAAGGAGCAGACTATATTGCTATTCCCAGCCAGCAGTTTATTTTCCATGCGAACATTTCGTGATTGTTTTTAGTTCAGAAAATAGAACTGCTGGATCCCCAAGAATACTACCTATGGGTCGGGGGTTGCCAGGGACTGGGGAGGGGGAGGGGAGGGAGGGCCTGCTTCATGGGTCACGTTTCCTTCTGGGGTGATGATGAGAATGTTCCGGAACTAGGTCGACACCGTGACCACAGTACTAAACGTCGCTGTATCTTTCACTTTAACATCGTTACTCTTATGTGAATTTCACCTCAATAAAAAAAAGTTACATATCACCTAAACAACACCGAGCTCCTTCTAGACGCCCTGCAGGGCGAGGCAGCCCCGAGCTGCAGCCGGGCCCCCAGGTCTGAGGCTTCGCAGCTGCCTGAACTCCGCCTCTGTGTAAAAAACAGGTCCCCTAGGTACGAGCAGGGCCATGTCCCCCAGGGGCCCTCAGACACCCCCCCCTCCAGCCCACCCCCAACCAGGCCAAACACTGCTGAGTATTTGTATTTTGGTTTGTTTTCTCCTCTGGCTGCCACAAGGCCTTGGGAAGGTGTTCGGTTCGATTAAGCACTTCTAGTTCCAGAGGTGGAGCCTGAAGCAGGTTTCCATTATTTTTCCTTTAAACAAGTGGAACTTTCCAGAGACAACTCACAGACTGAGGGCAGGTGGACGCCCCATAGCTTTGCTGGGCCGTCTGTCCACCAGAGCCCAGTGAAGAGGGAGGAGGAGGGGCCCGGCCAAAGGGCAGAGTCGTGGGCTCCAGTTCCTCTCCAGGGCAGGCAGATTCTGCAGGGCTGAGGCTGGCTACGTGTAAAGAAGGGTGAGTGGACTTTTTCTAAGAGCTCACGGCTTCTCAGGAAACCGTCCTTTTGTTTGCATGTCAGGGGAGGCACGCACTCTGTCAGTGAAGCAAGGACAGGTGTCAGAGGAACGTCCAGATCGGCGAGCAGCTGGCCCGGAGCAGAGGGTATCAGCCGGGCCAGTGCAGGCTGGGCTGCCCACGTACAAGCTCCCCATCCATCCTTGGACACGCAGAGCCCAAAGGGAAATCACACCCTACCATTTCACATGAGGCTCTGGAGCCCAGAGCTCAAGGGCTGTACTATAATCAAGTTGCATCAGTCAGCTTTATAACCACGGTCTGTGGGGTTTAACCGAGTAAGCTTCCTCATTTTTTAGCGCCTCACCCCTTTTTACACGCCTTCACATACATCACCTCATTCAGTCGCCCAAGAGACGGATGTTGCTGAATGTCTTGGAAAATACCTACTCCAGGAGCAATGTCCTTGTCCCTTACCTGGTGGCAGTGCAATGAGCAAAGACAGCTGCTGGGTGACAAAGCTGTGCTCACTGGGGGACCCCTCGGTTCGGCAAAAAGGGAGGGTCCTCGGAACCCCTGACCAAGACCTCTTTCCCGAGGGACTGGATTCGGCTCAACCTCGGAAACTCCAACTTTGTTGGAAATGGAATTGAATCAATTTGCCACCGACCCAGGTTCCTGAACAGGTTTGCACCACGGTAGCTCAGACTGAGAGGTGGCTGCAAAATTTCCCGATAGAGCCTGTGAGGTTTGGGAACCCAGCAAAGGTGGCCCTTGATAGTTTTTTCTCAAGAAAAGAGTAAAAAGCTGTCTTGTTGCCCTTAAGGCACAAACAGCTGCGGAAGGCAGGGCTGCTTTTGCCTCGATCTTGCCTCGATCTAATCAGCACCTGGTGATCATCGACTTCACTCCAGTTGCCTCGGGGCTGGAGAGTTGGGAATTTGGACAACGCGGATATCGGAGTGTTACTGGAAGGTGCAAAATGTTATGGGTGTGCCTCAGCACGGGAGGCAAGCGCACACACAGGCGCAGGGGCTTCTCCGCACGGCAGAGACCCCGGGCTCAGGGAGGCCGGGGCGAACACCACCGGACCCCGCCTCCTGGACACTCACACTGCGGGGGGGAATGGGGGGGCACTTAGGAAAGCACAGGCGCCACTGAGACACACCAGACTCGCCCTGCGTCTGTCTCGCAGGCAGAAGAGCAGGCCCGGGCTGAGGCTTCTGAGCGCCCCGCCCCCCAGTGCTGCAGGCCCTCCAAAGGGACGGAGATACTGTAACCCTTCCAAGGTGGGTGTTTCTGATGCCATCGTTACCCTCCACCTTTACAGACGAGAAAACTAAGGCACAGCGAGATAAATGGCTTCCTCCCCACCTCAGCAGCCAGGGAGCAGTGGGGGAAGCATGGCAGTCAGGGCCCCACTGACTCACCGCCCGGTGCACGCGTCCTCAGGTCCCCCGAGGATGAGGCCGGAACGCGAGCCCGCTGAGCCTGTGTGGACAGATCTGGGGCAAGTGGAGTCAGGCCGGGGGCTCCCAGCCAGCCGCCGACCACGAACGAGCATTAACTAATGACAGGTGTGCCTCCCTACACTTACTCTACAAGGCAAGCACACTGGGAAAAACACCCGCGCACCCCGGGCTTCCCGGCTGACGGGACAATGGGGGGCTGGCTGGTACTCCTGCGCGTTCCACGCCTGACAACCTGTGTTTACCCAGAAAGGAAAACTGGGGGTGCGATTATTCTACTTCTTCACACGCCTTCTTCATTTTCAAGGCTTTCCTAGACATAATCTCCTCTGACCGCCTGGACCATTTGAGCGATACTTTGATCGGTTCTTGGAAGATTCTTGGGTTTCTAGAGACAACCTGTTCAAACAAAATACCGCCAGGAAGGAACGGCACCTTGAATTCGTGTTGGCTCACAGGTTGGTGGTAGCTGGCAGCTGGCTGAGAATCGGACCCTGAGAGGTAGGGAACAGGATCGGGAGGAAGGAAGCAGGAGAGGAGGTGGGAGAGCTCTAAGCCCCTCCCAGGGGACCAGCTCGTGGGTGTTCAGAAAAGGGGGGCGGGCAAACCACCCCGCACCCTCACCTGCCAGAGACGCCAACGCTACCCACAAAGCCAAAGGCAGAAAAGACTAGAAGGAAAAGTGATAGGAGAGATGAGAAGAAAAGATGGAATAAACCAACCATTAGAAGCTCTTCAGTCTTAATTCATTTTATTCTACAAAATGCTACTCAATTAAAAGTGGAAAAGCTAACCAAAAAAAAAGAAAAAGCAAAGGAAAAACAAGTCTCGATATTTCTTCCACAGCAGCAAGCTTCTTCTAACGAGCTTTCTTTAGTGCAAATCCTGTAAGCTTGTAGTAAAACAAAAGAAGAAAACCCGCCAGAGACGCTTCGGAGCAGGACACTCCTCAGTTCTCAAAACGACACAAAACATTTTGAGCTCGCGGTCCTGCCTGAAGAGGCCTACTTAGAAGCCTGTCCCCTGGGACCATTTCACCAATTTTAAAAAAAATAAAAAGAAAAAAGAAAGAAGATGCTCAGGAAGGTAGTCATTCAATTCCCCATTGTAGGAATCCAAGTCGGCCCCTGGGACCTGATAGCAGACTTCACTCCACAGCATCGACTCGTCTCAGATACGCACACACGAAGCTGACCGCCCTCCACTGTCTACGGAGGTACTGTATGTACGTCTCCCACTGCAAAAAGGACCCCCCATACCTACTCTTCGTACAAAGGCGACTATTTTCTTCTTTGACATCAAGTAACCACAAACTAAAATAACTAGAATAAACTTTTTAATCATACAGAGAAAATAAGTTTTCAGGAACAGGACAGGATCTTTTGTTTTCTCTTACAATGCTGACTCCTTAGAGACCCCTGTCCCCGGGGGGATGGTAATCCATCTTTAACAACAGAACCTTTTTACACAGTTTATACAGCACAACTCACAAATCATTTTAGGAACAAAAAAGCATCATTAGCCTAAATTTTTTTTAAAAAATAAGGAAGAAAAGAGAGGGAGAGAGGAACTGAGTACTTTAATGCTATCTGTTTCTATTCAGGCTTGGTACAACACAAGGATGTAAACATTTAAAATAAATAATAAAATAAACATCAATTTCTTCTCCCCCTCCCCTTCCCAGACCCTTCTCAAAATTGGACCCAGCCCCTCCTGAACTGGAAAATTAAAACCCTTTGTTGATGTTCGGCCAAAACACTAGAAGCATGAGGAGATGTCAGATCAGTGGTGGGATGGCTGGGTTTCCTTTGTAGGAGCTGCAGGAGGACAGGGGCACACCTGGAAATGCACACACACACGCACACACACCCCCCCAACCTGTCAATAAATAGTGAGATGCTGGCTTTTAAGATGAATGCCAAAGACTCAACAAGCAGAAAGTAGCAAGACCCCTTTACTTACATTTTTAAAAGACAGTTACACACACCACATGTCCTGTTGGTCCACAAATTCTACAAGGACTTGGGTTACCCCCACCCCCGACCATTGGAGGAGGGCAAAGGAGTACATCACGGGGTGGAGAGAAAAGAAGAAATTGGAGGTGGAAGGATATTGTAGGGGGTGGCTCTTTGAGAACCAACCTCAGACTGAAGACAATCTTGCCTTGGATTTTTGGAGACAGACCTTCTCACCTCCAAGTTTTTGTTTATCCATGTTTGGGGGACCTTCGCTAAGGGACGCCCTCATCCCTTACTCTCATCCTAAAGAGGGTATATATAAAAGTGCCTAACACAGTGCCTGGCACATAGTAGGTGCTGATTTTTTTCCTTCTTAAAGGGGCCACATAGATATCTATCTGATCAGGAAGGAAATCAACCTGAAAGTTACATGGTGAGATTGCAAGGAGCACTGTTGGTCCCTCAAGGACAGGGTAGAGGAGTCCCAATACGTATGGAGTTGAGCCCGCCCTTACACTTGGAGCCAAGTGGGAGCAAGGACAAAACACCTCCCCCTGAAGCCTGAGGAAGGGAAGCAGCAGCCTCTGATGGCGCTTGGCTTTGACGTGCCTGTGGGACTGGCCACAGTGGACACACCTGGCCTTTTACACAGGCAGAGCAATTTCTTTCTGAAAACCTCCCCAGCGAGTTCTCTGCTCAGAGCTGGCCCCAGCCACTTCCTAAGCTCCACCTGGGACCCCCTCTTTCCTGTGTCGGCAGCTGTCCTCCTCCACCTGGCCAGGAAGAGGTCTGTCCCAGAGAGGCCAGCCAGAGGGCCGAGACTGCATTCCACACTAGCTTGTCAAGGAGTGCCTGCCCTAAGCTGTCCCAGAGCTGCCCGCAGCCCAGCTGGGGTCCACCCCAGCTGCCTCACGGCTGGGGACACAGGGGAAGCACGGCGGTTCCCAGCCAAGTGCAAAGCCCCCCGCAGCAGCTGTTCCCTTAGCTGGAGCCATGGAGAGAGAAGCAGCAGGCCTGATGCCCAGTGGCTCTAGAGCAAGGTGGCAGGTGTGCACACGAACTTGGAGAACAAGCCAGAGGAAGTAACTGAGGGCATGCTCTTGACTTGGGTATACCAGTCGGCCTTCCCCAAATACCCTCCTACTGCCTCCTAGGACAGAGCCAGAGGGTCCCGAATGGGAATGCAGCTGGGAGTCCCCTGGAGGTGGCTGGGGTACTGCCTTCGGCTGGTCCCGAAGCCGACACAGCCTGAAGTCCAAACTATAGCCAAACTCCGTCTCAGGAAATGACCAGCCTGGCCAAGTCACAGATTGTGCCCTGCCTTGGGGTCGGTGCCGTGCAAACTAGAGCACAAAGGACCTTCAGAAATGAAGCACCAGGAAGCAGCTTCACTTTATATATATACATGCAAATAGTGGCCACAAACACCGCTCAAGATGATTAAGCTCTTTGGAGCCGAGAGCACCCCAGCTTTCTCTGCCAGTCTCTGGCCACTTCTGGCTGACTCCTGCCTCTTGGATTAGCCTGAAGCCAGAAACCTAACTGCCCGTTCTTATCAGGCACACCTCTCCCAGAACCGCGGGAAAACCAGGAAGGCAGCATCACAGCCGAGGAATGTAGGAAATGACATTTAAAAGGTACTTTTGGACAAAACCCCTTTTTTTCTTTAAATCACCTCTCCTTTCACACATCACTTCCAGTCGCAGCGGCTGTGTGTTTTAAGCACAGGCCATTGCCTTCTGTGTGTGGAGTGTGTGGGGCGGAGCCCATGGGCACTGATCAGGGACCAGTGCAGAGGCCTAGGTGTGCAAAAGAATGGGTGAGCTTGAAGCAGTCACTGCTCTCTCCCTTAGCCCCCACTGGGTTAGATTTAAATAACAGCTACAGAGTTTCCAATTATCACACAACAGTCTCCAGAGCTGAATCCCAACAGCAAGGTCTCCCTCAGAGCGTTCGCCCAGCACAGGCCCAACTCTGGGAGATCAGAGGGGCTGGGCCCGGTGGGGGGGGGGGGGGCGCTCACAGGGGTAAGAGGCCCAGACCACGCTGAGCTCTGCTGAGTTCTGCTCTTAGGGGCCAGGAGGAGCCCTTTCCCACCTTCTACCTGTGGGAAGGGGACAGCCAGAAACATCACATCTCAGCTCATGTTTCAGCAGCCCCAGGAATGATGCATAAGCAGCGAGCTGTAGCAAGAGCTCCAGGCCGGCTGTGGGGCCCACAGAGCACACTGGGGGGGGGACGTTGGGAGTATAAAGAGAAAGCACTTGATCCACCAGTTGTCAACGGGCACTTTGGAGAGGTGCGCAGCCAGGAAAGGGCAAGCCAGGTACCAGGGCTGGTGGGAGGTGAACCCCACTCCATGGGCCTCCCTCCTCCCTCCCCTGCCTTCCCATCCACAGCAAAGGTGCCTAAGAAGCTTGGGGAGGGGCCATCTGGCAGCAACCTGGGGAGGGTCCAGGCCCTCTCTCATTAAATCTCTGTGGGTGGCGTCACCCTGACAGCCAGGGTGGAGGAGGGCGGAGCCAGCGGGGACGTGGAGTGCTGCGTGGCTCTTAGGGAGGGACACCTCCCTAGTCTGGAGAGAAGGGTCCGGGGCAGAATGGTGAGGCAGTAATTACAGGAGCCGTCCTGCTCAAGACTCCAGTGAAGGGAAGCCGGCTCAAACACCGTGTGGCTTGTTGGCACTATTCCTGGCCTGTTAATTAGGTGTTTGGCAAACGCAACCTGTGCCCTGGCTGTCTCACTCACACCCCGTCTTCTGGCTGCTCCTCCAAGAGCTGTCTCCAGGGATGGGGAGGAAAGGTCCTGCCTCTGCACCTCCCAGCGACGGGTGTGTCTCCTGGACAGCTCGGGCCGGGAGCCCTGCCGGTGCTTCTGGAGGTGGGGTGGAGCAGGCAGTGCCGGGAGAGGGAAGGTTCTGTATTGCACGTTGACTGTCCCCTCCTGGACAAGTCGGCCCTAGTAAAAGGGCCACCAGCTGGCTGCCCCATCTCCAGAAATGGAGAGTTTCCATGTTCAGACCACCCAGATGAAATGTCATGGCAAATTTCATAAAAACCAAGAGGAAGTGAAATTGACACTGGGGGATGGAAGGGGCAGTTGGAGGGAAGGTGAAGTCAAAGGCACCGCGCATGCTTGCGAGGGCAGGGAAGGGCGCCACCACTCTGGATACGTCCTCAGACGGACAGGAACGGTCCGCACCGGCTTTGGGCTCTTCGGAAGCCAGGGATGCCCGAGTCCACTACGCTAGGTTCTCCAAGGTTTTCAAGAAACAGGATTCGCTCTGCAAGATGAACGAGGGAGGAGGTTTCACGACTTCCGAGAGATCACCCCAGCGCTCCAGTGCTTCACTGCTGAATCCCACCGAGGTCCCCCCAGAGCCAGCCCGGCAGCATCCCCTCGTGCCCTCGCAGCCCTGGAGCTCTCAGGATGCTGGTCCCCGGGGAGGAGGCAGTGACGAGGAGCCCCTGGCAGCTGGGCTACAGAGCCAGCAGAGTCGGGGAGTTCAAGGAGTCTGACGACTGGTCCCCACTGCTACTGCTCCTGCGATGAGCCTTGGAGCAGGACTCGGAGGGCGACGCTGGCGACTCCTGCTCCAGGACGCTGGGGTAGGTGAAGACGAGGTTCGAGGTGCCCGGAGTGATGGCAGGCGTGGAGGTCACCACGATGGGGGTGTGCAGGGGCTCCTCCCCGTAGAAGCTCCCCGCGATGCTGATAGGCTTGATGACAGAGCGCTGGGCCTTGTCCAGCCCCGCCGATGAGGGCGAGGGGCTGTCCTCTTCCAGGGGCTCCTGTTTCACCACCACGGCGCCCACACCACCGCCCCCACTGCGCAGGGGCTGCATCCCCGGGGCTGGGGGCGACCGGCGCTCCTCAGGGCTGATCTTGCACACGGGCCCGTGGGCCACCAGCATGAACTCCAGCTTCTCCTTCTCCTTCTGCAGCTCCGCGATCTCCTTCTGCAGACCTGACTTTTCCTCCTCCAGTTCCTCTGTCTCCTATGGGAGAAAGAGAGGCCTGTAAGGCACAGAAACCTACCAGGGACCTGCTTGGAGGGAGGGGTGGGGTAGTTCAAATCCGGCAAGAAAGGGAAACGCCGCGATGTCTTCAGAGGACGGCGAACATACCCAGTGCACGCCTGGCCACACACCCCACTGGCTGTGAGTCATCTGGAGGCTCCAGATTCCTGACACACGAAGCTCCACACTGAGAAAGGAGCAGGGCGGCCGGGAGGAAAGCTGAAGTGACCACCGTGGCTGTCATGGCCGAGCACTTACTGCATGCCAGGCACCGTGGTAAGCACTTCACAGGCCTTATCTCAGCCAACCCTCTAGCAGTGTTTTGGACCGGGTATTATCACCCACCCGTTTTGCAGATAAGGACACAGGTTCAGAGAAGTGTAGTAATTCGCCCGAAGTCACAGAGCTAACAGGTGGCCAGCTGACCTTGGCCCTCAGTGACCCGACTCCAGGGCCTGTTTGTGGATGCACACCCCGAACTCCAAGCTGCGTGGCAGCGGAGACCACCCCGACACGCGAGCCCACGGCGCTGCCTGGCTGGTAGGAAGTGTTCCACCAGCCCTGCTCGGATCATCACAGCCCCTCCCCCCTTTTGCACTCTGATTTCAGCAGCATGAATTTTGGGACTCAAAGAGCCCTGTGGAGCGTTCAGCTCAGCCCCTGGGCTCAACAGCTGAGGGGCCCGGCGGCCTGGGCAAGCCTGTGTGGACGGTGGCCCAACGCACAGACCTCGTTGTGTGGCTCCGGCTTTCACACAAAGCCCCAGAGGCAGCACGTGCAGGGGGCAGGGTGGGGGGGGCGGTCACGGAGGGCGAGGAGGTGTGTGTCACCAGCCTCCTCCTCTCCTTTTTCCCTAACACAGGTTCCCGTTCAGGCAGGAGCCACTGCGGGGTCGGAGCTTCACTACGTGGAGTGCAGCATATTCCGGAGTGAAAAAAAGTTTCCATCCATCTCAAGGGTCTGATGAGCGTCATGAGCTCATGAGAGGTTTCCTGTGGAGGATGTGGCTCAGGGGCCTGCGTGGCTGGGCTGGGGGTGGGGGGTGGGGGAGCACGGTGTGAGGCTTTGTGGGGAGGGAGGGGAAGAAAGAAGAGGGGCCGCAGAAGGCGGGTTATTCTGGGCTGGTGGTGAGGAGCACCCAGGGCAGACCCAGAGGGCCTGGCTCCCTGAAAGGCTGGCAGTGAAGAGGGCTCTCCCAGGGGAGCCTCGCCCTGCTGCCCGTGGATGGACCCGCCTCACCCAGCAGCAGAGAGCTCCCACTCCCCCTCACGACCACCTTTAACAAACACCCCCACGGGACATCAGTGCGGGCAGGGCAGGATTCACGCAGCACACCTGCGAGACCCAAGCACAAGGGCTCCAGGCTGGACAAAAGGAAACTGAGGCAGGGGAGCAGTGCCTGAGAGGACTGAACAGTGATGGGATGTGCCGGGTAGTTTGTGATTTCAAAAGGCTCATGCTGGCTGCTCACTGTAAGGACCACCGACACAGTCTCCCCCACCTCCTCCTTTGAAGACACTCTACCCAGGAAAACACTCTAGCCAGTCCTAGCTCTGGGCTTCCTCTGCTCGTCGGACAGCCCATCCTGTAGAGCTGGGCTCTGGAGGGAGTCACGTGGTGGTCAGCTCAAACTTTCGGGCAGAGGCATGGGCCCCCAGGTGCGGGCAATTAGGCAGCAGGGAACAGTGACTCACAAGAGCAGAACGAGGTACCAAGGCCACAGCTTCATGCTCATAGCAGAGGCAGAGAATCCTCCTGCCCAAGAAGGCTCTGAGAAAACCCCAGGAGAGTACCTGTGGGCTGACATGTGAGCCATCGCATGAGACCCAGAGGGCATCAGGTGCCCCGCAGAGATGAGGGGCAGGAGAGCAGGTCCTTCCTGGCCCAAACCAGGTCCCTGAAGCAAGGCCGGGCCACTCCTGCTGGTGGTAGGCAATGGGGTGGCTGGAACCCTGGAAAGCAGCCCTGGAGGGGCAGGTCTCGGCCTGCCATCCCTCCCCCAGGGCCCCGGCGGGTCTGGGATCAGGCACTGAGTAAAAAGGGCACTGGGCCCCATGAGGTGGTCCAGTTCTCCTCTCGGGGCACAGGCTGGTGCCCAAGGCCAGCTCCCTCCATCCCCTCTTTCCTTTAATCAGGCCAGGGCTGCCCCACGTGCCCGAGGGAAGGCGTGTGTATCTCCACTGCCTCGGCTGCAGGCCGCTAGTGGGCGAGGAGAAGGTGGACAGGCCGGGAGCCCTGGGGCTCTCGCTTGGGCCCACCCAGAACTGCCCCCACCCCACGCAGAGCTCCTCACCGCCTGCAGCTTCTCCGTCAGCTCCCGGCGTCGGTTCCGGCATTTGGCCGCAGCCAGCTTGTTCCTTTCCCTCCGGATTCGACGCTTCTCCTCCTCTTCGGGGGACAGCTAGGGGCCAGGGCAGAGGGTCGTGAGAAGGTTCAGTAAATGCTTCGCCAGCTTTCTATGTTTTCAACTGCATTTAATGTAGGACAGGAAGCCCTTCTGGGACTGGGGAGGGGAGGGAGGAAGGCAAGAGGAACGTGGCCAGGCTCAGAGGCCCCTGCACACGCAGCTCGTTGCTGTCTGCCCACCTGGGCGGACACCTGCAGCTGATCCCACTGGTGCCTGAAGGGCGAACAGGTCAGCAATGGGTGAGGGATACACCAGCCCATAGTGGCTTCGGCATTTGTCATGTCAGCCTTGAGTCCCCTCGTGCCAGGCCTGGCCCCACCCTCTAAAGTAGCTTCTTCCAAACCTGGGCTAATGACTCCTCCCCATCACTCGGCCTGCTGGGCAAGCCTCATTATTCCCATTTGGCTAAGTAGCTGGGCCCAGAGGAAGAACCACCCAGTGGGGGGAAGGGGGTGTTCTGTTGCCAGAGGGAGGGTCAAGGATGCCACCCAACTCCCAACTTCCTCTGCCAGCCCTGCAGTGCCAGCCGCGTGTGGTTCAAGCCGAGGACCCGGCAGTGTCCTGGCACAGTGCTAGGCTGGGCAGGACGGGCGGAAAGAGGAAGAGCCCTGGGCCACGTTAACTGCCGCTGCCCACCGCATCCGCTCATTCAGCAAACTAGCACCTTCTACGTGCCAGGCAGTTTGCAGGGTTCGAGATTTATCAGAGAACCGAATGAACAAAAATCCCCTGCAGATCTTACAATCCAGCTTCTTACAACGAGGCTGGTTAGGGGCCTGTGACTCATGCCACAGGGCAAGAACTCGGCCCCACTAAGCTGTGCTGACGCTCAGTTTACATAGCCCTTCCAGGGCCGTGACCCAATGCCCCTTGCAGGCAGAGGTGACACAGAAGTTGGCTGTGGGCCATGGCAGAAAGCAATTCAAGAGGAAAGGCCATCCCATTCAGCTACCAGACACCAAAGGCACAGCCATGTGCCAAGTGCAGTAGCAGGGGCTTGGAAGATTCTAAGGGGAATAAGAACTGGGTCCTACACTCTAGGGGTGCCTGGGCATGAAAGCCAAAGCCACTCTTGGAGGCAACCAGAGAAGCTGTCCCACTAAGGGATGCTCCTGGCCACCCTGTGAGGAGGGAGCTACTCCCCTAGTGGGACCCATGTCAGTGTCCCCAGGATGGTCACTGTGGTGTCCTGAATAGCAAAGCATGGCACAGCCTCAGAAAGGACAAGCCCATCCCTGTCTACACTGAGGTTGCCCCTCAGCCCCATGGGCCAGAGCCCTGTATCCACAACCTGCAAACCCTGGCATGAAAGTGTGCCATCTGGGTACCCACTGCTCAGACGTGAAGTCTCTCCAAGGCCACCTGAGCGCACACAAGCTCACCCACCCTCCTGGCTTTCAGGTCCTGCCCCAGGAGTCAAGGTGCAGGGCCCGGAGAGAGGCAGGAAGCTGGGCAGGCTGGGGAGACCCCCCGGGTCCCCTGGGAGTCAGGTCCCTGCCCCCCAGGGCTCAGTGGGGCCGTGCACCTCCCCCTCTGTGTCAGCCCCAGGGACCGCCTTCACTCCCTGGATGCCCTGACCAGGCTCCCTCACCTCCTCTGCCGCCCTTGCCTCGCTGGGATGAAGAACCAGGCCCAGCCCCTCTCTCTCACCGGCCTCTCCCTCACTGTGACTCTCATGCCCTGCAGCGGCCTCCAGCTGGGATGCACCGAGCAGTCCAGCAGGTGGCATCCCTGTGTGTCTTCAGGCCCCTTCCAAAGACCTGACAGTCCAGTCCTGGCTCCACTCCCCTCCTCAAGTCCCAACTCTGTACCAGCCTCTGGGACCCTCTGCTCCCCCTGGAGAGCCAGAGGCTCCACGTTCTCTCTCCTGACAGCTGTCAGGCCAGCATTTCTGTGTGGCCCCAAACAAACCACCAAACCTTCTGGGCCTCAGGCTTCCCATTTATAAAATGGGACGGACAGGACCTGCCCTGCCTTCTGCAAAGTGTGGCGATCAAGTGAGGTACAGCGTGACAACCCTCTCTAAGCTTGAAAGTGCCAGTGAATGAGGATACAAGTCAGAGGATACAAGTCTGGTGCTTTTTCTGAGTCCTGACAGAGCCCAAGTGGACTGGAGACCCAGAGTCCACAGACCCGGACACCCTGTGCTGTGCAGGGCTTGTGTGCCTGGCTGAGGTCATGAGGCCTCTTGGCCAAGGCCCTGAGTACTTGCTGCTCCTAAACCTGAGCCCCACAGAGTTACCAAGAAGGTCTGAAGGCCCCACTGCTGTCCTGGGTCCAGGCCTCCCCCGCGGGCCCAGCCAACCCCTCACTCCCACTAATGGAAGGCTAGTCACAGTCCACTCTGGCCTCCCTGTCCCCCTGGCTTCCTCTGGACCGGTTCTGGCCTCCCGGTTGGCCCAGAAGGCTCAAGTCTATCTGGTGAGGTCTGGGGCAATTCATGGGAGCTGTGGGCATAGGAAGTGTTCGGGGGTGGTGACATCAACACGGTTACAGCTTGAATGTGTCAGCACCACTGTGTACCCACCCACAAGCCACACACGCCCTCCCCTCCCTGCCACAGGCCTCAGAGGGAGGCTCGGGGCAGGCCCTGGAGGAGGGCAGTGAGACACTCGGCAGGCTCCTGGTGCCGGCCCCTCCCCACTGGGCGCAGGTCAGGAAGGCAGAAGCAAGCTTCAGGGAAAAGACCCTCGAGCCAGGAACCAAAGGGCCTGCTGAGGGTGCTCCCCTACCGCCGGGCTTCCTCCAAGCTGCAGGATGACGGTCTGAACTCTTAATTGACAATGACGCAAAATAAAATGCTCCTGGCTCTCTCTCTCCCTCTCGAAAAAGGAAGGAAATTTTCCAGACAGATTGTCTTCGGGCACGCCTAGATGGTGCAGTGGGAAAACCACAGGGCTGGAGGTCATAGGAGGTGGATTCTAGCCCCGGCTCTGCTGCTAACTCACTGTGTGACCCTGGCCAGGGCCCTTCCCAGGCCTCAGTTTCCTCATCTGTAAAATGGGCGCAAAGAGATTTTTTTTTTAAAAGCTGGTCTCTAAAATCCCTTCCATATATAAACTTCTGAGTTTGGTGTGAGCAAGGCCCAGAAAGGAATGAAGAGGGTTCAGCACATCTTGCTTTGCTATCCTCCTAGCCCCAAAGTGTCCCCCGTCCCCGAGCCTGGCGGTCCCCCAGCATCTGCTTACACACGAGGGAGAATCTCGGTCGTGAGAGACTGTAAAGCTGGGCCCGAGCTTCCTGAAGGAAGCACATCTATGAAGGACATTAAGATCACTGCTAGTGCGACAGTTACTACCGCAGTCATGGAAAGCCACAGCAGGGGGAACATGGGCCGCTTGCCCCAGCAGCAGAAGCCCAAGAGCAACTGCAACGAGCTGTATCCATCAGAGCGCCGGTTACACACAGCTCCCATGTCGCCCTGCATGGGCCCTGCTGTCAGCAGAACTGACATGTGGTGGGGATGAGGCCCAGCTTTGTCCTCAGTTCCTTGGAGAGCAGTCCTTGTCATTCTAAGTATCCTGGGGAGGACTGGCACTGGACCCCCGCTGTTCCCCTGGGGCCCGTGCGTACAGGCCCTTGTGCTGGAAGCTGCGGAGCTGAGGCTCCCAGGGTGGAGGGACTCCAATGCTGTGGCGGGGGCTCTCCAGGTTAACGCTTCATTTGAAAAATGGATTCCACCGCTAAAGCACCTTCCCTTCCCTGGGCTCTAGTCCAGACCCCCCTCATTGCTGAGTGGCCCCAGGCAGTGTGTCTGGGCTTTGCTTGTGTCCTCTGGGAAGGGGGACAAGTGGGAGCACTCTGAAAGCCCCATCCTTCCTTTCTGGAGTTACACACGATGCCAAAGGCTCTGTCTGGAGTCAGCAGGCCTGATGCTGCCTTAGCTCACTGTCAGTGCAGACGGTGGGCCTTCCCAGTGCTGGGTGGGTGCTGCCCCAAGAGCACAAGCCCCACCCTCTTCTGATGTCCCTCGTGCCAGGCTGACTCCTCCCAGTGGAGCCCCTTGAGGAAAACAAGGCTGATGCTGGACCTCCCACCCTTACCCCTGGTCAGCGAAAGTGCTGAGCAGGCTCCAAGGACCCCAGTCACGGCACTTCTGGAATGCACATTCCAGGCAGGTGGGACGGGCCCCTCTTGGAGCTGGAGGCCTGGGCGTGAGGTGGACTGCAGAATGCTGTGGGCAGCGCCGGCCTAGAGTGTGACCCTAGAGTGTGACCCTTCGTCTACTAGGTGGCTGGTCTGCCCCAGAAACTGGAAGACAGTTAAGGGTTTATAAGCTGCTGGCCAAGGTTTGCTGGCTGCTTGTCCAGTGGCCACCCGGCCAAGGGTCAGAGAAGGACACTGCTGTAGGTGGGTCCTAACGGTCCTTCCCACCTGCTGCCCCTCACCACTTACACTGTGCTTTCCCACGGCCGACCGCACTGGAGTGGCAACAAGCCCTGCCTGGCAGGGACCGCAGCCCCCAGTCTGCAGCTGAGGAAACTGAGGCTCAGCGACTCCAAAGGACACGGGTGAGATGACAGAGCCAGACCTGACCCTCAGGTGTCCGTCTGAGCCTCCAACAATGACAGTCATATGCTCCTTGACCCCAGTTCCCTCCTCTTCCCAGTGACCCCAGACCACCATCGACCCTGCTCCCCACCAGTCTGCAGAAAACACACTGTGTCATGAGCCCCCAAAAGTACCAACGTGGCTTTTTTATGCTGATCAAGCTGTTACCTGCTCATCTCTCCTCCTGCGACCCACGGTGGTGCCAATGGTCTTGATCACGCCGGGTCTGGGGAGGGCCATGTGCCCGGGGACGGAGGCCAGGCCCGGCAGGGGGCTGTAGGGGTGCGAGCGTGTGTACGGGTTGGACATGGAGGTGATCACTGTGGGCTGCACCATCCACTGCAGGTCCTGGCTGGTCGTGATGGCGTTGATGGTGGGGATGAAGGCACTGCCTGAACCAGGCATATCTACCCGGAATTTCTGCAAGGAGGAGGGAAATTGGACTGAGCCAAGAAATACTGCGTAGAACAGGATAAGCAGAGACAGGAGGCAAAACCCAGCAGAGAGCAGGGTCAGTGCTTAGGGGACCAAGGTCAGGACACGGGCGGTCTTCCCTGGACAAGTCCTGCACCCCCAAGAATCAGGGGAATCTTAACTACTTCTGGAGCCCTGTGTCAGACTGGCTTTGTGCATGAAGGCCTGGGGGCTCCACCCCTAGGTGGATCAGTGAGAACGTGATCCTATCCCAAGTGACTTCCAGGCCAGATGTGGTCCCCAGCCACTCACACTCAGCAGGGCGGCTCTGCAGCCCCCCAGGCCAGCTGTGTCCACACCTGCAGGAGGGCAGGTCTCCCGCCAGAGCCTCCTGGGCCCCCGAGTCACCTGCCGGTTATTCTCTAGGGTACACGGACCAGCTCAGGACCCCTCGAGGAAACCCTCACACCAACAGCTTTGGAGCAACAAAGATCATGGGGAAGCTTAGGGTGCCTGCTTTTGTTACTTTTCAAACAGGATCAGGATGGGGCTGTGACCCGATCACGGGGAGATCAGGTCCAGGAAAAGGTGTCCTCCAGCCCACGAGACTGAAAGGTGGTAGCATTTGCTGCCAGGCATCCCCTTGCTGCCCTTGACCTCCTCCTCCTCGCCCTTTACCCTGATCTTGCTGCGTTTCTACCCATCTACACTATCCATCTGTGTCCACAGAGGCGCTGGTGGGAAACTTCAGTGCTGCTGGCTCAGAGCTTTCCCTCTCCCTCCTCATCTGTGCCCAGACCACAACGCAGGAAGCATTCTATTTCAAATGTATGGTGATGACGGAGGACAAAAGCCACACTGGGCCACGCTCCTCAGCAGTTGGACTGCACCGTTCTTTGGGCAACTGAGGGAAAGTGAAAGGAGGAGGGAGCAGGGAGGAAGGAAGGACCCCCCACAGCTTTCAGGGGAAAGCTCCCCAAGAAGGTCTGAGACTGAGAAGGTTCCTGTTCCCACAGAGTCTGCAAATCCTCTTCCCTAATCTGGTGGGTCCCTAATCTGGTGGGTCAAATAAAGGCAGCGATAATAACTAACACGTACTGAGCATTCAGTAAATGACAGGACATGGTAGTGCTTTACCTGGATTACTCACTTGTTCTCCCCCTCGGATAAGAACTACCATTATCTCACTCTAGAGGCAGGAATTTGGGCGTAGGGAGACGAACTTCTCCCAGGCCACACTGCTCAGAAGCAGGGGGGTCAGGATTCAAACCCAGACTGGCCGGACGCAGAGGCCCGCACTCTCACACAGGGCGCCGCGCAAGCTTCTGGGGCATTCCTTGCCCTTTCCCCAGAATCCTGTCCCAAGTGCCAGCACCCGCCCCTGGGCGCCCTCGGACGGGGCATCCGCCGTCACAGTCAAGGGGCCCTGCAGACCTGCCCTCTCACCCAGGAGGCCCCACAAGCCGGTTCCACTCCAGGTGAAATCCCGCCATTGTGCACATGGACCCTACAGCAACCCCCCACTCTGGCCCAATCCCACCAACGCAGATTAGAAGTATTGGCAGCAGTGGCAGCTGCCACCACCACTGTCCTTGCCCCTGGTGATGACACCTAGGTCCCTACGGTACAAGCGAAGTGAAGCTTAGAGCACCTCACAGGATCTGAGAAACCTGAGACCCTTCCTTGCTCACCCCCCACCCCCCAGCTGCCCAACCTAGTCTAGGGGGCGGAATGTGGCTGCCTCACCTCCCAGAAGCCCTCGGGGCCCCATGCCAAGAGCATTCAGTGAACAGGTTGACCCAGCCCAAGGGATTCTGGGATCCCGTGAGGAATGCCACCCAGTGCAAGGGATTCTGGGAATTACTACCCAGTACAGTGCATTCCAGGATTCTGTGATGCTACCAGTGCAGTGAACTCTGGGATTCCTCGAAGTCAGCTGCCCAGTACAAGGGACTGTGTCACCTCAGAAGGTACAGGCAACTGGGCTTTTTATCAGGAACTGATAGAAAAGAAGGTATATAAGGGTGTGTGTGTGTGAAGGATTCTATTGAGAAATGATCTTCAAGGAGGAAAAACAGACAATGAGGGCTACGCTTCGCGGAGGCAGAGTCTTGAGAACATGAGCAGAAGCACTAAGGCCCAGACAGCTGTCGGGCTGCTGGATAAGGATCTGGGTGGGGAGGGCCGTGGGGAGGGGCCGGCAGGGAGTTAGCACTGCACTTGAGTCCAGAGGCCTGCATTCGAGGCCTTGGCAGGTCACTGGGGACTCAGTTTCCCGGCCTATAAGTGGGAGCACTAACACCAAACTCACTGCACTGTCCTGAGGATTAAATTAGTAGCTACCTGTAATCACAGGCTATTAAAAAAGCACACTAGTGGTTCTCAGCCCTGGCTGCACATTAGCATGGTCTGAGGAGCTTTTTAAAAACACCAGTGCTGGAGCCAGCCTCCCCATTAGAGTGCTAAAATAACTGGTTTGGGGTGTGGTTCTGATAAGGTTTAAAAAAAAATAAAGCCACCCGAGGAGATTTCTAATGGGCAGTCAGGGTTGAGCAATGGTGCTCCAAACAAATGGAAGGCGGCACCGCCACCACTGTCACCACATCATTATGCACCATCGTCGTGTCTGTGTCCCCTGCGCGAGGTGGCTCCAGGCAGCACCCAGCTTCCCGCTCCTGGGAGCGCCCGCCGCCTTTACTCCACTTCTCTCCCCAAGTCAGGCTCTGGTTCTGCAGAACACCTGGGCACCCTTCACCTCAGTCGGCTTCCTGTTCAGGGGAGCACCCAGGAAATTCACTCCTCATTCCACCCAACAAACGAGCTCCTAGTTCAGCCTAGCGAAAGCAAGCCAAAACTCTGAAGCAAAGCTTGGACACTGAGATCCCCCAGGAGTGAGTGGGTGGCGCTCAGCCCTTCGCGGGGACCCCCGTCCCCTCTCTCTGGGACAGCAGGCTGCAGGAGTGCTCCCCGGCCAGCAGCCAGATTCCTTGCAGCAACAGCTTGGTCTAGACAAAACAAGACAGCAATAAAAGCAAGACAGCAGGTAATGACTGCCTCTAAATGTGTGTACAACTTGTTTGAGAGGGAGGTAAAGTCATCTGGATAACACACGGGCTCTGCAGGGCAAACAATGTCCCATCCCCAGAGGGGACTGGGGCTCTGATAAAGAGGCCTTTGTCTCCAAGAACAGCCTCTCCGAGACACTCACATAAATGTTAAGTGAAGGTATTATTCAGAGAGCGACATCAGGTTAAGAGAGGTGAGGCTGGGAGTTTGTGGTCCCAGAAATCAGCCTGGCAGTCCTCTGTGCCAACAGACCCAAGTCTCAGTCAAATGTCACGCTGGGGACAAATCATGGCCCTCTGTGAACAGGTCGGCACTGAACAGAAGCTAAGACAAGGCTTCCCGGCTCAGCACCAGGTGTGTGCTGGGAGTGCAAGGCAGGGGGTAACCCGGGACCTTGCTTGACTCTGCTGGGGCTCTTCAGCCCTGCTGGAAGCTGCACTTCTAGGGACAGGACCAAAGATGCTGGACGGCTGGGTGGCATTCCCACCTGGCAAAGCCTCCAAATGCTGCCGATTTCTGGGTGGGCAAGAATGCCCATAAAAGGACAAACTGGCTCCCACTGACCTCTTAGACGAGAGTGTGGCAAACTTTCGCTGTAAAAGGCCAGATAGTAAATATTTTAGGCTTTGTGGGCTGTGCCATCTCTGTCGCCACTACTCTAGTCTGCCATTGTCGTGTGAAAGCAGCCACAGACAGTATGTAAACAAAGAGGCAGGCCTGGGTTCCATTAAACCTTATTTATAAAAAAAAAAGGGGGGGGGCATTGTTTGGTGACTCCTATTCTGGAGGATCATTTTCATCTCCGCTGCTCAGGTTTGGGGAAAAAGAACAAAGAGAGGAAACCTGGAAGCCAAAAACGAGACCTGAGGTATTCCTCTAACCCGAGGGGTCGCAGCGGGGAGGGGGCTCTCACTCATCACCTCGAATCTCCACTTGAATCTGACGCTGAAGTCTGAATCCTTACAGGCCTTGTTGTGGGTCTCTGGGCAGCAGAACCTCCTTTGCTCTGTCGCACCCTGTATTTAAGGGCGCCACGGGCTGCTCGGTAAGTATGCGTGTCCTCCTCCCACTGCCTGTAAGACGCAGCCTGTGAGAGAACACAGGGCCCCTGGGCCACTCAACTTCGTCAGGTAAGAGAGGGCTCTGCAGCCCAGCAGCCGCTGATCTGGGAAAATGCCCTCTCTACACTTTACACAAGGGCTCTGGATTCGGAGATGAGGGTGCTAACCACGGCCTTCCCAGAAGGGCCTCAGAACTAGGGTTACGGAGCCCACTGCCTGCAGACAGGGAGAGGGTAGGCCTTAGCCCAGTGACCCCTGAGCCGGGCAGAAGTGAGATGGAAGTGGGGGTCAGTGTTCCTGGCCTATCCCCTTGGCCAGATGTCTCCCCATCAGGCAGATTCTAGAATGAGCCACCAAGCACGCAAGCCATGAACCCCACGAACGCCACTGCCGTCCCCACAGACAGGCGGACAGGAGTGCGCATGCCTGGGCAGGGACTGGGTTCTTTCTAAGAACCACCCCCCGCCCCTTTTTTTAAGATTCCCAGCACAGGAAAAGGAAAATTCCAGCATCCCAGAAGTCTGGTTCAGGGGAAGAGGAAAGGGTAGGTGTTAATGTTCCCTCATGTAATACCCCAGAATTCCCTGGTGAGGCCCAGTTTGACTCAAATGTTCTATATTTTTACTCAACTTGGGAAGTTCTCCAAAGTTTTCTATGTGGGATTCAACCAGTTTTCGCAGACTCAGCCCTGAATATCACTCTGCCCTTCCATTCCTATCTGAGGACAGCCGCTGTGTCACAGTGAAACGGTCACTAATAACTACGGCTTCCCCAAATTTTACAGTATAAAAACACTGTCTCAGGTGACAGGCCTCCTTTTAACTTCCTCTTTGTTCCAGGTTCGCCTGGAAAGGACAAGTCTATCCTTTTTTACCTGTTAACAGGCCAGGATGAAGAAAATCAGGGAAGGAGAGAAAAAGGAGAAGAAAGCAGCTGATACAGAGTTACTCCCTCCGAGTCTGACTTCTTTCTTCCCTGAGCCACTCTGGCCAGGAACCCCAGTCTAGAACACAGGGGGTCCTCTCCACGCCCCCATGGGCCCCATCCGTGCCCCCACCCATCCTCAGAAGCCCCTTCACTCAGTGGGAAGGGCACGCCCTCTCCCCTCCAACCACGGCAGAGTGGGTGCAGCCAGGTCACTGCCATGCGACAGGCGAGACAGTCCTGGCCGAGAGAACTCCTGTGCTCCCTCTCCAGCCCAGGGCGTTGAAGTGGGCTAGTTACTAACTGGGTTTTGGAACAGATATACTTGCCTCAATCAGGGCTGCTGCCATCATTTCGAAATGGCGTGGCCACCAAAAGATACTACTGTATGCAACATGAATGAGACATACCCACTAGGGAAGGATGCCCTTTTTCTTTCTTTCAGCAAACAGACCAGAAAGTGAGCTTCCTGAATTCTCAAAACCAGTATTTTTTATTCCTGTTTAACAGAGAGAGAGAAAAAAAAAAAACCCTAAGGTATAGATGACAGAGGTGCCTGCTTTGGTGAGCCCTGTCCTGGCCACTGTCCCTGCTGCTGAGACCAACAGGACTCACGGTCCTACTCTGCCTTGGACCCAGCAGGGCCATCCAGATCAGATGTGGCTCCTTCTTCTGTGTCAATCTCTTGATAATTTCCAAATATCAAATTTACCCTCGAAGGACAAGGATTTGTTAGCAGGAAGGATTTTCAAAAGAATTTGCCAAAGGCCATTCCAAAAGAGGGGTGTTGCAAAGCCTCTCTGAATCTGACTAATCCCCTCAGCATTCAAACAAGTATTTAGTCTCAGCAACTATGAAGGGGCAAGAGTGATCTGAATGCGTAAGTTCTGGTGTGTTTGTATTAAGATGGGGGGTGGGAACCAAAAAACAATGAGGCTCCTAATTCTACACTCACCTGGGAGAATAAGGCAGGCAGAAGTCAAGCCATGGAACCCATGCGGGGTTTCGGAAAAGAAAGCCCAAGGGCCCCTCACACAATACATGCTGCTGCTTCAGCCCATTCACTCTGATGAAAAAGTGGCACTCACTTCCACCATCAAGAATCAGCAGAACAGACAAATTCCTGGGATAACGTTCTGTTCGATCCTAATCTAATCTATGTCATCTGTCAAATCAAGGCCAAAAAAAAAAAAAAAAGAAAAGAAAGGGCACTAGACCCTTGATATATACCTCCTGCCTTCCCGCCATTTCTGAAGACCACGCCCACCAAACCAATTCCCAGTCTCCCGGGAACGCAAACACACCAAACCTCGGGAATTTGAAGATGTCGTGCCGGCAGCCTGATGGACAGACAGACATCGAACTAGGGAAAGGGGGAAAGCACTCCTCTTCAACCAGGGTTTATTTAGAACAGGGGTGTCCAACCTTTTGGCATCTCTGGGCCACAGTGGAAGAAGAGGAGTTGTTGTCTTGGTCCACACATCAAACAAGCAAACACTAATGCAAACCAAAGAAATCTCACAATGTTTTAAGTAAATTTACGATTTTGTGTTGGGCCGGGCTCACAGCCATCCTGGGCCACATGCAGACCGTGGGCTGTGGGTTGCACACCCCTGATTTAGAACAAAAGAAAAACATTTTTCAAAAATTGCTTCTCAAAGTCAACCAGTTCCTAGTTAACCGCTGTTAAATATATGCCATTTATTTGTCCTGAATTCAAAAGAAAAAATCCTAAGAATTCCAAAAACTCACCAAGTTCAATCTTTGAAGCTGGAAAAATACATTCCCCAGATGGTTCTTCTACAAGTGTCCTGTAGGGGGCACTAGAGAGGTATGATTAGGGCTGACTTGGGAATCACAGTCATTTCTGGTAAAAGTTCTTTGATGCGAGGAATGTCCCAGCCTGGTACAGTTGGCAAAAGTTCACTCCGGGAAATTTTGTGTGTGCGTCTGTCTTTTGGGAAGGGTGGCTGCTACAAAGAAGAGAGGTAGTCTGCTATTCCTTGATACCAGAAAAGAGCTGTCCCCTTGATTTATTTTCACAAGTTACCTAAGGAACAGATAAATGGCAGCCTTGGAAAAGTTCTGGGTCTTGTTTTTGTTTTGTTTCTTTCATTAAAAGGGGGCCCAGCTGATGAAAACAAGTTATGAAATGACCTGTGTTTGTGTAACTGGCTGGATTGCGTAATGCCCAGGCCCTGAAACCGTAATAGTCAAGCAGCCAGGCAGGGCCTATATCTGGGAGGTGTTTTCCTAGGAAAGCCAGGAGAGAAAACAACAACACAAAGAAAAAGCCAGGAGGGGGAGGTATGTGCAACGATTACTGACAAAACAAAATCACCAATGACCGACCTCTGAGATTCAAACTATAACTGGAACAGGAAATATTTCTCATGCTTCAAGTTCCTGCCCTATACAAGAGCAGAGGTTTTAACAAAAAGTTATCTCCCCCACCCCCACCCACCAAGTCATTGGACCTCATGACCATGTTAAGATCAAGCTTTATGAAGCTCGAGAGGAAAGTTCTGGGTTGAATAAACAGCAACAAACATCGGGAACAGCAGACCCCACAAACAAAGACATCAGGAAAAAACACTATTCACTTGCCCGAGGAAAAACCAGAGAACAGTGGTTTACAGCGACTGGTCCATTGAGACGCCAGAGAGGAGGAAGGCCCACCTCTAACCGCCAGCAGTCTCCCCGTAAAGGAAGCTGAGAGAAATAAAGTGATTATAGGTTTTATCTAATATGGAACAAAGTTACCTTGAGATTGGGTGGGGTCATAGCACAGACTTGTTAAGTAACAAAAGCCTCTCCTTCCCACAGCAGAACAGCTTTGCTCCCAGGCAGGGAGATGAAGGGACCCTCCCACCCCACCCAACCCCGGAGTGGAGGGACTGAGAAACACGTCTGAAGTGGCATCACCTTGCCAATCCCTCCAGTTTGAAGGGCATCTCACTCAAGCTGCTGGGCCAAGGGGCAGGCGTATATTCAAGAACCCCATGCACTAGTTATTTGTAATTGCAAAATCCTCATGTGTTACAGCATGCTAGGAATTAGCCAACAGCTGCTTTTTGCTTCGGTAATGAGGCCCCATTACACTCTGCTGGACTGAGTTCTCTTCCTTCTTCCTAGCACTGGTTTCCTGTCTGATTTTCTTCCAAAACAGGGAATTGCCTCCGCTCACATCCTGGGCTCAAAGCCCCAGTGACACACATTATTCAGTCGGGACACCGATGTCCGGTCCGACTTCCCATCCAGGCCCCAGGGTCTGAGCAAAGCCAGGTGGCAAGACTGTCACATTTCAATGATGACTGCCACAGAAACGGCAGTCAAAGCACAAATGAGAAATCAAAAGATCCCTTCCTGATTCGGGAGGGAGAGGGACATCTGGGCGTTTCTTGAATTAGAGAGGGAAGGAATGGGTATATAAGTGACTCCAACCCCTTGCCTAACGATGTTTGTATTCCATACAAACCACCAACAGGGCTGAAAAGCAAGTAATCTCAAACACTTTCAGGACAGGATTTTCAACTCATCACCGTGCTGCTCATCACTGAGGGTGCACCGACTGCCCCCCCCCCCCCCCCCCACACACACACACAGCTCTCTACCGAGAGTGCTGAGGGGGATATTGGGGAAGATGACTGGGGACTCATCAGCCATGGGGAATCACTGTGGTCCCAAAGAGAACTATGGGATCTCAGATCCCAAAGAGAACAGTTTCCATTTTATTCTCTGGCAAGGTCCACCCATCCCTGGAAGCTCACTCCAGCCCCTCTTGGCTGGCTGGCTTCTAGAGGCTGAGGCCACTGCCTTCCCAGAGGCAACTCTTGCTGCAGCCAAATTGGCTAGAGACTCCGAACATCCTGACCAGCGGGCTTCAGGTCGTGGCCACCTTGTTATGCCAGCTCTCTCTCAAGTCTGGGGGCACGGGGGTGGGGGGCTGCTGCAGGCACCCCACCAGCACCGTTCTGGTGTTCACAGACACACACACACAATCCCTCCAGTGCAAACCAGTCTGTCTGCTTTAGAAGCAAGTTGTTTTTCTGCTTCTAAACCACCTAGGAGCCTATGCGAGGTCTCTCCCCACCCCACCCCCTCTGCCCCCCACACTGCTCTCTGTAGGCGTCCTTGCCCCAGGTACCTCCAGACTCTGAAGGCGCCTTTTCTAAGGGCAGGGCAGGCTCCTGCTGTGACCCTAACAGGAGATGGACGGGCGCGGGGCACACTGGCGCCACGGAGAGCCAATCAAAGCTGACCTCCTCCTTTCTGACCTTCGCACCTGATTCCCAGAGCCGGAACCCTCCGGAACCCTCGCCCTCACTCCGGATTACTGTACTTGAAGGAGCCAATCATGTTTCTGAGTCCCCAACGTCTTTCGGAAATTAAGATTGGTGGAGAAAGAGAGAGGGTTTTCCCGTGGGAATAGGGTCTCTGGATGTCTGGAGGACGGTGCAAACATTTTTTTTTTTTGGGGTCCACCAAGGAAAGAGGGGGAAAGGGGCAAAGGATTCCTGGGAGAGGAGGTAACAGGCTCGGTGCTCAAGTAGCGTGTGTGGATAAGATGTACTGTGAAAGGAAGCGTTTGTTGGCTTTCCAGCCCACTCCTCGCTCCAGTAGTAAAACCAGAAAACTGATGGGGATGTGCAGGACTTACAGTGGCCCGTGGAATTTTCTCACCAAGCCAAGAAAGGGAAAAGAAAACAAAAGAGGCAGTGACAGCGAGTGGAAAGCAGAGGGGGGTCCGCTCGCGCCCCCAAGTGCTCCCGGGGCCCTCACCTACCTGCTGGCCGCCGCCGCCGCTGGAGTAGGACTCGGCGTGCGCAGGAGAGCCGCTGCTGCCCCGGGACGAGGTGTCAAAGTTCCCGGGATAATCCTGGTACATGATCCGCGGTGGGGGCCCGAGAGGAAACAGGGTGTTTTTCTTTCCCCGCCCTCGCCGCGGCAGCGCACCGGCTGCTGCGCGCTCACTCTGTGCGGGCCGCGCCTGGGCTCTGGGCTCTGCTCCCGGCTTCTCCCCAACGGCGGCGGGCGTGACAACACACGGGAGCAGTGCCCCCTGAGCCCGGCACTGCGCTTCTTTCCTGCTCTACGAGCGCCGCGGGACCGGTTGTCCACCCAGTCCCTCCCTCTAAAAAGTCGGCGCGTCCCTCGGTCCCTCCCCTGCGCGCGCCCTCCCGCCCCCGCGCGCGGCCGGAGCCCTGCCGGGACTGCCGGCTCAGTCAAAAATTGGAAATTAAAAAAGAATGGGAGCCCGGCAAGTCACGCCTGCCAGGTCTGCGGGCCCCCGATTTCGGGTAAGGCAAAGAAAAAAAGGCGAGAAGAAAGGCTGCCCGCTTGGAGAAACTTCTATTTCCTCCTTTTAGAAAAGGAGCTGAAAATAAACTTCCTGTGGCCGGCGCGCCACCGGAGTTTCGGAGCGGCTCGGACACTTGACTAGGAGGAGAGGGCAGCCCGCGCCTGTCCCGCAGCCCGTGGGGTCGCGCTGAGTGGGCTGCAGCCCCGTTCCCTGTGCCGCGGCTCCGGCGTCCGGACCTGCACCCTTTGCCCCGCGCCCCGACCGGCCCGCCTCGCGGGTCCGCGTCTCTCTCTCTCCCTCTCCGCGCCGAGCGCCGCTCGCTGGCTCGCTGGTTCGCTCTGAGCCCTCGCGCTGTGCCTGAGATGAGTCACTACAATGGCACGAGTTCAACTCCACACTCTTTATTCTCCTGCTCCGTATCATGTGGATTCTCTCACGTCAACCCCAGACTCCACCTTGAAGGGAGGAGCGCGCGGGGAGGCGGCCCAGGAGGAGGAGGAGGAGGAGGAGGAAGAGGCGCGGGAGGGGGCGGGCGTAGCACTCCACTCCCTGCTCGGGCTCAGGGCCGCGCTGACGCCAGCATCACACCCCGAGCGAGGGAGGAAGGTGGTGGGAGTGGGAGCAGCGGCCGGCGCGGTTTGGGGGGAGCCGAGGCAGCCCTGGTCCGCCCCCGCCCACCCCCCGGGCCCAGCGCCCTTGGTCTGTTCCATTGGCGCACGATGCCAAAGATGGTCATTTGCGTTAGAGGACGCGAGTGCGGGTTCCCTGGCTTTCGGGTGACGTGGAGGGAGAGGGATTCCCTCGCCGGCTCCCGTGCGCGCCTCAGGCCCCCTTCCGCCCTGCCCTGGGAAGGAGCGCGGCCCCTTGGAGCGGCCAGGCGGGCCTCGGCGCAGTGTTTTTAGAGAATAATTAGTCCTGAAGAGCGAGACGGCCAGTTCAGTGCGGCGCCACCGCGGGGCTGAGAGCCGGGCGCAGAGAGGGCGCGGCCGCGTGGTCGTTGGCGCCCTACGCGGCGCCGCCGGGGGCAGCGCGCAGGGTATCCGCGCCGCCCTGCGGCCGAGCCTTGGCGAGGTGCGGCGCCGCCGGGCGGAGCTGGCCTGCCTATTTTTCTCTCAGTGACTGGTTATCCCCTGCTTCCCCCCACACCCCGGCACCACCCGCCCCCTCAATCTATTTTTTTTTCTTTTTTCGGCCCTACAATTAATTTCTAAAGAGTAGCCTCAAAGACGAAATTTACCAGCCAAGACAGTTGGGCCGCCCTGTATCCCGAGCAATTAGGACACATCTAGTAGAAGCAATCGGGCATTATAAGCAAACTCCAGACCGGAAAAAAAAAAAAAAACAGCGAAGGAGGGAAGCCCCGGAGAGGGTGTGGCCCAAACATTGTCTTCAGCTGTTTTGCAGCGAAGTTCAAGGGGCACGTAGTTCGAACTCCTAGGTCTTCCTGCCTCACTGAGTCGGGCGTGGCGAGGTAAGGCGTAAAGAGACCTTGGAGCACCCATGCCAAGCTGTGCCATTTATGAGCTGTGAGACTTTAGGGGAGCCTCTTAACCTCTCTGGGCCTCAGTTTCTCCCTCTAAAATGAAGGGATTGGGCCAGGTAACCTACTAAGGTCCGTGTCAGCTCTGGAACTTAAATCTCTCTGCAGAAGTGATCCGGAAAAGCGCTGTACTAGGAGTCAAGGAAAGTGGGCTCTGGTCCAGGCTCTTGCCTTACTCTCAGTTTACCCAGCTCGTAAGTAGCGCCATCTGTGTTCGGATAGGATCCTCGGGAGGACCAAAAGGAAGATTCGTGAAGGCTGTGATACCTTGTGTAACGTAACGCATCACAGTTCCGGTCCTCAGTTTCCTTATCTGTAAAGTGGGGGTGTTGCTAGGAAAGAAAAATAGAGCCGGGAACTCGAAGCTTTCCCGGGGCTCTATATAAAGCGCTGGCGTTTCCGGGACGGCTGGCGGCATCTGGCCGCCCCAATGGCCCCAAGATACGGTAATCCCAAACAATACTCGGGGTCATTGTTTACAGTTATAAAACACATTCTGTCCTGAGCTGCATCCCCAAGGACGCGCGCGGTGAGGCGAAGCTGGCTAGACTCCTGGAACCCGCACCGCCACCGCCGGGCAGAGTCCTAACTGCAGGCCCAGGCGAGGGGTGTGGGGCAGGCGGGTGCGCATGTTGGCCCCGGGAGCTTAGGGGTGTGCAAATGTATGTGTTAGGTTAAAAATCCTCAAGTCCTGCCTGCCAGGGTATTTACGTGCCTCTCCCAGCAGGACTGAGTAAATGCAGTTCTTTGACGCAAAACCAGTCAGCCCTTTCCCCTGCGGCAGCGGCAAAACCCAGAAAACTGGGGGTGGGGACCGCGTGGGAGGAAGCGCAGGAGAATAGTGACACTTTTTCGTGCGCCTCTCCTTTCCCGCGCCTCACTGGCCCCTGGCCAACTCTGCTAAGTCTTGGGGGCGCCGAAGGGCGGCGCGATTCCGACGTCCAGACCTCTGCCGAGAGCAGCTGCCTGTGGAAGAGGCAAATAAGGTGCACTTTTAATTTTCCTTT